CTCATAATATTTATGACTGAAAATAAATATTAACAACAATTAATCTACTTGTTATTTCAGTACATTAATCAGCAATGCTGTTTGTCCACCAAAATGCTCCACATGATGCCAGAAATCTCCTCACTACGGATTTTAACACCATTTCTTGATGTTTTATGTCCATAAGTTGGATTCTTGACAGTATCTTATATTTGGACTCATTTTTCTATCAGGGCTTGTGCCTGTGTTTTTACTGCTTGTCATTTCTAATTAATGGACTGTTTTGCCTCCATCATACTGAGGAAGCATAATACCGTCTGATGAAACCTTACCCGTATAGTCTCATTATTACTTCAATAATTTAGAGCTCAGGTCATTACAGCAGTGTCAACATCACCCTGAGTTGTGTGAGTTCATGGTTATATTCACACCTAAATTGCAGTGAAAATACTTTGTTTTATTTCCCTTTTTAAAATTTACTCAATCCCCCAAATGTTTTTTATTTATAAATTTTAAGTCTGCACCCATTGGATGCCATGTATGCTCATGTTTCATTAGGCATGAAGAGTCTAAAAGGTTGGGGATGTAGAGTAATTAGACAAACTTTGAACAGGACTGATTTTTAATAAATTGTCTGGAGAGTGTGGTATCCATATGTGGCTTTTGGAACTTCCTGAAACATCCTGAAGATGTTTCCTCCTCTGAGAAATAAAGAGGATGTAGAAGATGAATTTCTATGGTGATGAACAGGTTTCTCAAACACAGAGATTACACTTACCTGCCCTATTGTGTTCATTTAAGAGCTTAAATATTAGTATTTGTTCCAGGGTTGAAGGGCAGGGCAGAGCAGGGTGGAGCTCTGTGTCAAAAGAGAGCAACACTTATAATGTTCAGTCACTATTGTGTCTCTATTATTATTTCTTTGGCTGTGTTTTTTTCCATGTGAACAAATAGTTGAAGTGTGTGTGGATGAGTTTGTCTTTGCGTCGTTATTCTGTTCACTTTACTAATCTGAGACAGATGCAGACCAAGTCATATATATTATTCATTAGTAAGCATGCACAGGGTCAGCTCTGATCAGCATCAGGTGGCATCCAGCTTGCCAGAGCAAATTTCTCATCTCATCTGATATTCTCTTCTTACATCAAAAACCAGTGAAGGATTTAGTGGCAGCTAGTGGTGAAATTGCAGACATCAACCAACTGAATCCCCTTAATCTCCCCCACTTTTCAGCTGGTAGGTGAACCTATGATGCCTTCAGGTCACATAAAAACACAAAAGGCCCAATGCAGAGCCAGTGTTGGGTTTGTTTGCCCTGGGTTTCTATAGAAACATGGTGCACTCTGTGGAAGAGGATATGCAGGGCTCAGTCAAAACTCATAAAAACACAGCAATGGTAAATTTCAGGTGATCATACACTAATGAAAACATAAATATGAATATAAAATTCTATTTCTGCCAAAATTTCTGACCATGTCCTACAAACTATTGTAATATGACTGACCTTATATCGTAAGAATACACACCTGGCACCTTTTGACATAGTACTGACAGCTGAGAAGGTGTGTTTGCTGAACGATAACAATCCATTTGGTCTCTTTTAAGCTGTTGTTAAGGCCCCACCTTGAGTTCACCAACCTGCAGGACACTAAGTGCTCACCTGCCACTTTCAAATTCTGAATATCACCCAGGCATGGATCAACACCAGCGTGTCCTCCCAGAATTACTTCTGAATCCTACTCAGTCACATGCAGGTTTGCTGTTGTTGTCAGGCCCATTAATACAGGTTTATTGTCATCAAATGAAAAGTAGACTGGTATCAACACAAATAAGTATTCAAACGTCACACACTGTGTATCTTGTTACCCTTCATATTACTTTAAACTTAGAGCCATTCCAAGTGAAAAAGATGAAAAAAAGATGCCATGGTTTCATATAACTGTTATAAGAGAATGTATGTATGTGTCGTATCTTGGGACTCATGACCATGAATTAGAAAGTTTAAAGAGTTGTTAAAGACACCTTCTGTTGTGTCAGTGAAGAGGTTAACTGTTCAATGTAAAACCTTTTCATTCAGGCAATCAACATAATTTGCCAGTCAAACCCATGCAATAATTTCCTGATAAAAAGCAGTACGCAAATGCTAATCATTGTCTGTGACTGTCCAATGTGGAACACAAAACAAATAAGTGACACAAAATCAACTGCCAGCAAGATCGCCCAACTCCATGTGTCTGTATTTCACCAGAAGACTCTTTTTTTCTAACAATTAGCTGTTACTTTTTAATACAGTGATGAGTGAGCTGGTGTAATCTCATGTCACATTTGATCTCCCATAGGCCTGGATTCGGATGAGTCATATGAAGGGGTGTCAGAGGCCAGTTTCAAAGATGCACTGGTGTCTGACAGCAGCAGTCAGAAGAACAATGGATCTGTGCCACAGGAGAATGGCATTAAGAAACACAGGTACTGCTGCATTCCTGCACCGCTTACACCTGCACTGTGTGAATATTTGTGTTCGTAGTTGCTTCATGTCTTGTCCAGAGATTATTTGATGCCTCCTGCTAAAACCAGTACTGGGCTGGGTCATAAGATTTACTGACAAGGCTTGAAGGCTGCTAGCTTGATAGCTTGATAGCTTGATAACTCTGTATTTGATCTTTCATTTACATGTACAGAAGTTTTGGCACACATCTGAACTGTACTCTGCACTGTTAGCATGAAAAATAAGATGAAAACATGGCTGCAGAAGGAAAACTTGAGCTCACTGTATCACCATAACAACTGCATATCAAAGGCATGTTAAGTATTCACTGAAGTTGTGGTTGCATAATAAGGTTTAGAGGAAAGCTCTTTTATAGTAGCACATAAAAAGGCACATTATGCAAAAAAAGGAAGGTTGTTAGTGTTTTTAGGTATTGTGACCTGGTTGTGCTAAAATCATTATAATAATATGTCTTTAAAAGTTATCGAGAAAGAGAATAAGGTAGGAGTTATTTTCATGTCTAAGTGAGGGCCTGACTTTGTTGACTCATGCCAAAAAGATTTGGCTTTTTGCTGCCAAATTACTTTAATTTCATTGCAGCAGTGAAAAAGAGATCTGGCTTTTGTTTTTGTGGACAGATCTGCTCACAATCATCAAAACAACATGTCAGACTTGGGTGGAACTGTTTTCCTCTTCCTGATTCAAGCATTTACCATTTCTTCCTAATCTAGATGTAGCTTTTGTGGTTTTCATTCCGATCCTTATACTTGATCAGATACTGTTTGTACTGATCCATTACACTGACACTGACAACAGACATGAAGCAATGGAATGGCATTTGTTTTTCAGATGAAAACAATACAATGTGTTTTCACTGAAAGAAAGTTGTTGATTTTTGTGGCTATTACTTTTAGGTCATTAGTTCATCATTAGATGTCAAATCTGATTGTAGAAAACACCAAGTACTAACTGTCAAATATTGGGGAAGTGGTGCTTGCGCTTCATTCATGTCCAGTCATTCTTTCTTTCTTTCATTTCAGAACGTCGTTACCTGCACCAATGTTTTCAAGAAACACTATTAGCATCTGGAGTATCCTGAGAAAATGCATTGGACTGGTAAAGGCCAGCAGATCAAATGCTGCTTTTCTTCACATGATGATTTAATAGTAATAAGTATCCTTGACAGGGAAACTTTTTTCACAAATCTATTAGATCATGGCTAATGAATATTATTGTCATGTGTCGAGCTCAGTGTGATTTGGGGATTTTGTAATTGGAGTAAAACAATTTTAACAGGTTTTTCTTTAGGTGCACCCTGCAGCATTACATAGACCCTCTATGTAATGCTGAAAAATAAACATTTTGGAATTATGCAATACATGCATAAAACAAATGGACTTTTTCTTTTGAGCTGTTAAATGTCAAAATGAATTGGTCAGCAGTTTTTTAATTATCCGTTTGTAGATAGTATTATCACACTGTCCTGTTTATGACAGCAGTAGATTTCTCTTGCATTGGCCAGATTCAGCAGGACAAGAAAAAATAATTCTAACAACTTATTCTAAAACACTTTGCTGTACATTTCACAGGAACTGTCCAAGATCACGATGCCCATTGTGTTCAACGAGCCTCTGAGCTTCCTACAGAGAATCACAGAATACATGGAACACACTTACCTCATCAACAGAGCCTGCTCGCTGTCCGACTCCATAGAGCGCATGCAGGTCAGACGTCTCACACACACTCACACACACTCACAGACACTCACGCACACACACACTCACACACACTCACACACACACTCACACACACTCTTCATACATTCCCCAGCTCTTTACCTCCATTACCACTTATTCAAAAATCTACTATTTCCCAATCTGACAAGGTGTCCTCAATTGGCTGGTTTAAAGGGATAGTTCACCGAAAAATGAAAATGCACTCATTATCTACTCACCACTTTGCCGATGGAGGGGTTGGTGAAGGGTTTGAGTCCACAAAACACTTTTGTCTCAGTGTTGCAACCGAGGTGACCTCTTCATCAGACGTAATAAAGCAACAGAAAAAAAACACAACATGCCTCCATACTGCTCGTGTTGTGTCGTCAAAGTGTCTGCAAGCCGGCACATTCAGATTCGACTTGAAACAAAGCCATTTACACCGTGCTTTAACCATAAAGTCCACTACCGGAAGAGGCAATGCTAGCGGACGTAGCAATGCGAATGTCCACCCGGCCTGTGCCCTTGGGACTAGAGTGTGTTTGATTTTCCTGTGTCCACGAGAGCGTGAACGTGCCTCTGAGAAGGATAGCATGTTGTGTCTTTTTTCTTTTTTTTTTACATATGAAGAAGGGTTTCCATTTACTTTAATTGTATTGGATTTGACTACAACACTGTTTACCCCTGAGACTCCAGAAGTGTTTCGTGGACTCAAACACTTCACCCTCCCCTCAATCGGCATTGTGGTGAGTAGATAATGAGTGAAATTTCATTTTTGGTGAACTATCCCTTTAAGTCTGGAATTTGTCCTCAAAGGTCGCCCATGTCAGACACACACACTAGAGACTAACAAGGTCTGTAATTGTTTATCTTCAGGCAGTAGCTGCTTTTGCTGTGTCAGCAGTTGCGTCACAGTGGGACAGAACTGGAAAACCCTTTAACCCTCTGCTGGGAGAGACATATGAACTCACCAGGTATGGTCACATGCCCAATTTAAGTGTTTTTTCATTTTTTTTTTTGAGTTTTTAAAGGTCTCTGGTTTAAACATCACATTTATCCTGTCCAGAGAGGAGCAGGGTTTCCGGCTGGTATCGGAGCAGGTATCCCATCATCCTCCAGTCAGTGCCTTCCATGCAGAGAGTCTGGCTGGGGACTTTGTCTTCCATGGCTCCATCTACCCTAAACTGAAATTCTGGGGCAAGAGTGTTGAGGCAGAGCCTAAAGGGACTATCACACTAGAGCTACTCAAGTGAGTCTGAAAGAGAGGCTCTTTTCTTACCTTTGTTTTGTTTTCTTTAGTTACTATTGTTACATTTCCCACCATTCCTCTCGTCTGCTTCTTTCTCTCAGGCACAACGAAGCATACACATGGAGTAATCCTCACTGCTGTGTACACAACGTCGTCCTCGGCAAACTTTGGTTAGAACAGTATGGCACAGTGGAAATAGTCAACCACCGGTATGTAAATGATACATGCATGATGTCTGTAAGTTTTAGTTCTGGTAATTGGCACAAAGAATAATTTCACACTGATTAGTCACATTCGGAGTTGAGTGCATTTTTGCTTTCAATAGGTTATAATATGTAATCGTGAGTGTAATTGTGAAAATAATAGTACGATAGTGAATCTTGTTTTCAGTTATTGTGATCATCATAAGTCAGAAAAGCTCAGTAACAGACATTAACTATTTCTTCTCCTCTCCCGTTATCTTCCGCAGCACTGGAGACAAGTGTGTACTGAATTTCAAGCCATGTGGGATGTTTGGCAAAGAGCTGCACAAAGTGGAGGGATACATCCAGGACAAGAGGTACATCAACTAAAGTTTCAAAAAGAATTTCAACAGTATTAAGTTTCAAAAAGTTGTCATACTCTTCCTTGCCCTTATTATGTCCATCGGCTTGGGCACATTTTCTTATCTTCATTTTCTTCTCTAATTGTTTCATCTGTCTTGCTTCTCCTTGTTCTCCCCTCCTTTATTCTTCTTTCCCATACTGCTTCCTCTATTTTCTAAATTGTTTTCTTTTTCCTGCTCTTTTCCTCTTCATGTTTCCTCACTGTATCTCTTTTTTTTCTTCACATCTTCTCTATCCTCTTCTATGTCCAGTAAAAAGAAGCACTGTGTCATCTATGGGAAGTGGACTGAGTGCATGTGGAGTGTCGACCCTCAGGCCTACGAGACCCACAAGAAGTCAGAAAAGAAAGGAGACAACAAGAAGTTGAAAAATGTGAGAACTAGTCCAAACATGTGGATTTACACTTTTTGTCACTTTAACCTAAAACGGTTTACTTTATTTATTATTGTCTTAAGATTTGAATTTCTGTGTCTGTTGTTATATAAACAAATTAAAAGAAAATATTGATGTTAGTTCCATGTATTTGTTTTCTTTTTCTCTGAATTCCTTGTTGATGTCCATAGCGTTCTGTGTGGTCATATCCAGATGAAGCAGCAGACTTGTGTAGGTCACTGTTCATGCCATTAGCTGTCCAGCTTTTAGTCTGCTTGGTTATTTGTAATGAAACATTGTAAAAAGTGCATCGCTGTCCTGATAGCCTGATAACTGTATATGGATAAACAGAAAGAATGATGTGTTCTGAACATTTGCCCCTGAACTTTGCTGTTTCATCACATTATATCAGTTTACAATGAAGTACATTATCTCCAGGAGGCGCAGGAGGGAGTGGAGAACGATGACGCAGATGACATGCCAGAAGTCCAGGAGACGGTGTGTGTCGTACCGGGAAGCACTCTGCTGTGGAGGATAGACTCCAGACCAGCACACTCTGCCACGGTAGAAATATAAACACACACAAGCACACACTGACTGAAACTAGGGATGAAATGTTTTCACGATATACTGTCCTTCAGTGTTTAATAACCATGGCGATTTCATTGATGCCCTCCAGGAGGGGCTGTAACAGCAGAAGAGCTGCTAGTGCTCTGGCCATAGTTGACAACTGTTAGCATCCACTGTCACCATACTCTCTGCTTTTAACAAACAATGGTATTTTGACTTGACTTTCAGGCGTTAAGGGTTGAGTTGTTGACATGTCTCCTCCACTCCAGCGCCACTTCTTTGTGTGTCATCTGAGAATCTGTAACTCCACTGTGAATGACAACAAAATGCAGTAGAAACTCACAATGAGTTAAAATGAAAAAAGGGAAACAGAAATGTTAGAGAAAACACAGCTGTTTATTTCCTTCTGTTGGATTTTCCAGTGTAATTATTTGACATCATTGTTTATATTTGTCGTTGTAGTCTAGACTTGCAGCAGTTTGTCTACTTTGCTGTCAGGGGGAATTCAATAGTAGAGTTTTGCATTTAATATGATTTTATATGATGCAAATCTTTTATATTTCTCATTATTAATTAATTTAACTTAAGGTTTGACCTTTTAAAGCATGTGTTAACTATACTGCAATAATATTGGTAACTGTCATTACAAAATCTTCAGTTTCTTCCCTAACTGATAAGCTGTTGTTGTCAATACATTTGCTTAACTGTGTAAAGTTAATACTTGATTTTGATTTAATCAATACGAGATAAATGTGCCTGAATGACCAGAATACACATTTATAATCACAAACTCATCACCCTTCTCTTATTGCCCCAGATGTACAATTTCACCAACTTTGCGATGTCCCTAAATGAGCTGGATCCTGGCATGGAGGCCGTCTTGGCCACCACCGACTGCCGCTTCAGGCCTGACATCAGAGCTATGGAGAATGGCAACATGGGTAATTTGATTAGCCAGCTGTGGTCTGCAGAAACCTGATTTTCTCTTCAACAAATGAACATAAGTTTAAGTACAGTGTGAATTTAATGCTCCAGTGTTGTTGCTGTATCAAAGTTACACCAATGAGACAGCCAGAAAAAAATAACAAGACAATGCTGCCACCTGTTGGATGTCAGTGTCACAGCCTTTTTATATAAACTTTAACATAATTAACCTTTGTGTGTGTGTGTCTGTGTGTGTATATATATATATATTGTTACGCCCCACGGTTATGTGGTTATGTGGCGAACAACATGTAAAATCACTAACCACCACTGACTTTAAAACAGCAGAACCGTGGGATTTATTATCATCTAAAAACACAATACACACAATGTTAAAATCCCAGACTGAGGCCCAGCAGTCCCCAGACTGGAAGCCTCCCTTCTGTTCCTGACACAGGAGTTTTTAAAGAACCTCAATCCACTGGTGAGGTGCACCTCATTGATGACTGGTTTAATCAGGGTGGAGCTAGAGAGACAAGAGAAAAACAGGGACACAGGACAGGAAACACATACAGCCGTAACAATATAAATATATTCTAGCGTGTCTCTTTTACTTGACCCACAAACTACGTGGTCCGATCCTGAGAGGTTGTGACTGGTTGTGTTTGTACAGATGAAGCGAGTAATGAGAAGGAGAGACTGGAGGAGAAACAAAGATCCGCCAGGAAGGAGAGAGCCAAGAATGAAGAGGAGTGGTCTACACAGTAAGGAACATATGCTTGCACGCTATGCTCGCCAGTGTTCATTAAAATAGGATCGAATGTACAATTCAAATAATCATCTTACAGAAACACCCAGACGCTGTTGTTTAATGTAACAATACAAACCTTCATCATTGGAGAACAGTGTCAGTGTTTGATGTGAAAAAGAATATGATGAAGGCAAGAATAAGCAGAGAACAACTGAAATGTAATTTTAGGATTAGCTCAAGCTTTTACTGTGTTTTCATGGGCTGAAGAGACAGTCTCTTCAAAGTGATGATTCTTCATTAACCTTTATTTAAACGGGATACGTTAACTGACCTTGCATGCTCTCTGAAAGCAATGCTGCTGCACCTTTTAGAAATATGAATGAATGAACATTTTTGCTTTCCTGTTTATTTGTCATGAGAAAAACTCAACACTGTTCTATCAATATGTAGCTATTGTAACACAATTTACTTATCAGCACCTTTTAATAAATTACATTTGTATGTATCCATTTAAGAGGTGCAACCAAAAACAAAGATAGAAAAACACAAAGTAGCTGGAGTGATAACAGAAGAGAAAACAATACAAAACAGAATAAAGCTTTAGATAAAAGCTAATAGCAATAATAACAATAAGATGAATGTTAAATAAAAGTCTTGGTAAATCCCTGCAGACATTTAATCTGTGTGTGTTTATCTTTCAGATGGTTCCAGTTGGGCACCAACCCGTACACCGCCTGCCAGGACTGGATCTATTCTGGTGGCTACTTCAGTAGGAACTACCAAGGCCTGCCCAACATCTACTGAGAGCCTTCATCTTCTTCCTCACTAACCTGCAATCATCTGCCTGTTGGATAGAAGTGTTAAGATTTCTCAAACCAACCTTTACTCCCATCTTCATCTCACTGCCTTCATCATCGTCATGACACCAATTGGAAGTCTAATGCCTTCACTTCTGTCAAACTGTGGCCTGCTCGACGTCTGCTGAGTCTTCAGGTGTTTTTCTTTTTTCATTAACTTCACCACAGATTGTTTCCATTGTTGCCCAACGACCAGCAAACTTTTCCCTCTCTGCCCCCCAACAACGCATGGAGCAGAAAACCAGTTTTTACTCCTGACTAATCCCAGCGGCAGAGTCACAATCCTCTGAGAAACCCTTTAGTAACGTGTCATTAATGAGTAACAGTAACATGAAGTGAGGCAGAATAACCACAGTGATGGATTAATGGACAAGGATGGACGCTCAGTCAACGGAGAAATCAGGGATGTGAATGCTCTTTAGACTGAAGATGGATTTTGAGGATGCTTTTCCTTTTTTTTGTGGAAACTTTTAAAGACTCAAACACTCAAAAATTCTAAATATATAAATGACATGTATAAATGACTTATACAGAAACTCTATTTGTTAAATTGGTCAAGCATGAGGTTATTATTGTCCATGCATTATATCCCTATAACATTCTTGTAACCACTCATTTTCCCGTTAACCTTCTACTTAAGGTTTATGTCTGAAATAAACCAAGATGGCGATCAGAGAATGGATGTTTCCTCGACAGCCTGGTGGAATGTGCAGCTTGAACAGCACCAGAATAGAAACTACTGCTCCTCCAGCGAATGTTGGAACAAAAAACGGACAGTCAACAGGGACACAACATGCCTGGGCAGAATGGATATTTAGCTCAATGTACAGAAAGTCATCCTGTGTGCAGTGTCTCATAAAACTCATTAAACACCAGAAACACGATACACCATCATGACTCCATGTTGCTCCCAGCCAATATTTGGATTTAAGCTGCTCTGTTGCTTCATCTTGATGACTTTCATTTTAATCAAATATCGAGGTTGATTTAATATTTATTCTGAACTTATATAAACTTGACAAACAAAAAGTTTTCAAACATTCCTGTCAGTGTGACATTGTTATTGGAGACACCTGATCCTTAGCTTCAGATAACATTTACAGGTCAAATCATGAATAATAAATACTCTTGTTAAAGCAGAATCTGTTCATGTAAAACCCTGCTTCACTACTGTTAACTCACCTAATACACACATTCTTTACATAACCTGCTGGCCTGGTGAAACAAATAGTTTATAGCTTTGCTTTTTTAAATGATCATCTCACAGGATTGAGAATGTGACCCACATCTAATGATGTGAATTTAATTCCTCTCTCCTACCTGCCCTGTATCAGCTGACCAACCAAGACGCCCAATGAGATCTTCAGAGATATTTATTTTTGAAAATTTCTCGCTATTGTCGTGCATTTTGTCCCCTGTGATTTAAATACCAGATGTTATGCATATATACATGTATTTCTCAACTCAGCTCTATGCAACTGATGCAGCTTAAAGTGAACAATGGGTCTGATCTGTCCCCCCCCACACACACACACACACACACACACACACACACACACTCACACACTCTCACACACACTCACACACACAGACAGACAGACAGACAGACAGCCTCGCCCAATCCTTGGTTAATCTTAATATATCATATATCAGATAATAAGATGATTACAGCGTCTTGAACTACTTGACTCTTCCTTCCATCACATCTTGGGTCAAGTTAACTTTGCATTTCTTTGTCACGTCCATGTTTCCATGTGCCTGGACTTTTTTTGTTTACACTTCTCTTCTTATTCTTTTTCATGTGTATTTTGATATTTGAGGTTTTATGAAAAAATCTTTGTCGTCAGACTTTTTTGTTCTTCCTTTGCCTATGTTGCTAATCCCAATGGTTCTAATGTTTTTTTTTTTCTCTTTCACTTAAACACAAAACTGATTTGTTATATAGAGGAGCACAGTGTGTAGTCAGGCCATTAGGACATTTACCAATGTAACACTTGTACATTTGACTGTGGAGGTAACATCTGTCAGATATACGAGCCAGTGCTGTTTGAATGTAGCCAGACTGGTGGACACTCCTACATTCACAGTAAAAATCCACAATCAAATTATTTCATTGATGATTTCTTTTGTGTGTCATTGAAAGTCCATTCTACAAACACTACTCAGTGAAATCAGCACTGGTCAAATGCAACAGGAACAAGAGTCTTTGTCAAACAGTAGTTTTGACTGTAATCTAACTGCCACTGGTTAAATGACACGAAGCTGTTCCATTGGTCAGTGCTGATTCAGACTCCACCGGTCACTAAACTAAAGCTCAGTCATTAGGTCTAGTTTTTATGTTGCTTTGAGTTGCTTCTGTCTATGAAAATGTCTCCTGTTGACTTTGATCCTCCTCTTGGACTGTATGACGTGGTTTTCAATGTAAGTGTTGCACAGAGGTAATCACAAGCAAAATGGCATATTATTTAGTGCATTTGATTTATTTTTATAGTATTTAAGCAGTTTTATTTGGTGAGAACATTCCACCAGATGTTTTATTTTGAGGTGTGGGACTGTAAGGGGGCGTATCCATACTGTGGACAACTTGCTAGATTAATGAACAGGGGAAATGTCGACTAATAAAATCCTAATTTCAGTTTTTGACCATGTTTCATTCTTTTTTCTTTTTTTTATGAATATTGAAAATATATTAATACAATAACAGCCTAAACCGAGTCTTTCATCCCACTGGACTCCTGTAGACTTCATATTAAATTCATGGACAAGAGATCAGAGCTGAAAGTGACGTTCTTAAAGACTAATGTGCTGAAATTAAGACTTTAGGTTGCACCAGCGACACAGTGCAGAGTTCTGTGACGGCACCGGCAAGCTGATATTTAACAGACGCTCACCTCCGTGTTGTACTGTGTTAGCATTCATAACATATGATGGTGCAGGATGAAAAGTTTAAGTCCCCCTCTGGTGAAAATCAACTTTCTAAACATTTAAACATTTCCCCTTGATATGATAAATGGCATTTTGATCTAAATAAGAATTTCCACCTTAACACTGCAATAAACAAACACTACTCTATAAAACATGGATTCAAACAGCCTGAGTTTGTGATGTCACAAACCTAAGTAACCAATCCTGTTAACTTGTGGGTGGGACTCAGTAGCTGGAAAAGCTCCTCAACACACAGGAGGTGCTGTGAGGCAGGGGAGACAGGGATCAGGGGCGGGGTCATATTAGCATATTAAAAGATCCCAGTTATGAAATGAGAAAGGAAAGCAGAACTTTAAGAGATCATACACACACACACATATACACGCACATGCATGTTTATACACACATAATTACAGAATACAGATTGTATCTACAAGTGAGAACATGATTGTTTTCCACTGCAGTTCAATAGTTGTCAAAACTAAAAGTCATGTGATCATCATGTGATCTGCAATAAGAGCTTACACAACCACTTGTTTTTTTTTCTGTATTTTTCTTTTATTATTTTTCCTGATTGAAATGTATTGTAAGGTCATAATTTGTCATTCATCACATTACATGGCATGATGCACCAGGTCTACTACACCCATTTACAGGAGGAATACACGGAAACATACACAAGGTTTTACAATGGGGAAACAGGAAATTTAGCTCATTGCACTTACAACAGTGAATGGAACACTTTGTAGTCATTGTCAGGCTCTCGAGCTTCTTCTCTTTTATATTTTCACCCTTTTCATCATTCACTTGGGTTAGTTTTTTTTTATCACACATCTCCATTGCCCAATCACTCTTTCCCCATAAAATTATCTGTCCAACCCCCAAAAATTACATGGAAGCCAGAATATTTCCCCTTTTTTTTTGTTTTTGATATCATCTCATTTTACAAACACAACATGTATAGAAACTCTACACAGACCAATGTTTTTTTTTTTTTTAATATCCGAATACAACTTTATTTAATGAGTTTTAAACAGTCCGCACGAGCCAGCCACATACGTACACAATGCGATTTTTGTAATTTATTAATCAAATCGACAACTGCTCTTGTTTGTTATGTAGGTTTTTGTGATCTTTTTTTATACACAAAAAGCACATATTCGGGCCGGGAGGTTTCAGGCTTGCATACGCTCCAGCTTGAGTCGGCGTGTGGTGTGCAAAGGCCTCGCGCTCTCTCGTGTCCCTGTGCATGTGTGTGTGTCTGTTGCAGTGTGTTGGCGTGTATTGAGATTTAAACATGTTGCTCGGAACATGTCCCTCATGGCATTTACGCGTTAATTTCTTTGTTGGAGCAGACTCGCGGTCGGCTCTCGTCTGGTATTTACACTGGAAAAAAAGACGGCAGCCCGTGAGGTGGGAGGTCAGAGAGAAGGTTTTGGACGGTTAAGGTGTGAGTGGGGGAGGGCGAGCGGGGAGGAGGGAGGTGTCCAGCTCATGCACTTGTAATTCTTACTCTGATGATTGGTTACAGGTGAAAGATGAAATAAACGCTCCCTGATGGTTTTACAGTGAGGGATGGGCCTGGTGGCTTTTCTCTCATGGTTTTGTTTGTGTCAGCATTCTTGCTCTCTTTTTTTAAACAACCTCTTACCTATAAAACACTCACTTTTTATATATTTATGTATAATTGTATGTATATATAAATATACATTTATATTTCACTTTTAAAATCTTTCTCCCGTCCTGCTATATGTTGACTTGTCTGTAACAGCGAGAGCACAGTGACTGTTATTAAACCCCGTACTGCACAAGCTCTGTTTGCTATTTGGTTGCGAACACACACACAATCTGGATTTGTCCAAAAGCATTCTGAGCCGTATTTAAATCAGTCGACAAAGACGTTGCTTTTTAACTCTTGTGGCGTTGTTTTCCTGGGTATAGACAGACACCTTGCACAGTATAGACAGAGACCACGACTGGCTTGAGGGCAGTAACAGGATGGCTTTCTTCACTGACCAGTATTGTTGTATAAAAGCCCTTGCTGCTATGCATATTTAAATCACCTTCAGCGGCTGCATTTACACTGGAGTGAAAATTCAAAAGTGACATTTTGAACACGCTTTGACACAGATCTTATTATTCATGTGTTCCTGGCTGTGTCATTCAAACCTTAAGAGTCTCTTGTTTCACAGCAGCCAGAGGAAGATCACAACTGTGCCGCAAAGTGTTGAAAATCCAAGTTATTCCTCCAGCGTAAATCCCAACCATTATTTTCTCTTGTCTTTTAAACGTCCTCTTTGCAATGCTGCATTTAGTGGTGTGCTTTCCTGAGGCAAAAGTGATTGAGGAACATTTTATGAAACATTTTAGTTTTTACAAACAATCGAGGAAGTTGGTTATTCGTTTGGGCAACTTTAAACTCTCGCTCATTCTATTGGTTCTACTTTGAAAATGTCTAAAATGTCTATTTTAAATCCACCGTGGTGAAGTCAGTACTCATCTGGTGGCAGTGTGTACCTGTGCAGTGATGTTGATAGGGCCACGTTCACGTCATGCGCAACCTAACAGTAGACTGTAGAGGCACCACCCAAACTAAACAGAACCAGAATAATCAGACTCTTAATGCTGCACCTGAACGTAACTCTACAGAGGCTCTGAAACAAGGTTAATGCGAGCAAACATCATGATCTGTATTCTTATTGAAGACAGTTATTATTATTATTGGTATAATTTTAAGCATAGAAATAACCAGTGAATTGAGAGCACACTAGCATTTCCTCTGGGAAACAAAAACCAGAAAATACATTTTTACATCTACCAATCCGAGTTTCAGAGGGTAAAACTAACACGTTTCTGTTAATCAAGACTTAAAAACATAATCTCAGCTTCTTATTTTTAACAATCTGATTATTTTGGTCATGCATGAATCCAGCTGTAGATAACATCTGTATAAACACTCACTTCCTCTATAGGTCTATAGATTTCAAACCTAAATCTCTCTGAAATCCCAGCTGCCTTCAATCTCCCTCTCAGTATGATAAAATAAATTCTCACATAGATAAAATCATCTGATAAATGTTTCACAAAAAATATATTCATATACTAAACCTCTTTGACACTGTTCCGCTGGCTTGTTAAGCTGTGCTCAAATAAAATTATTTTAGAGGAATTATGGGATGTTTTCATACTGCATAAACCTTTATTTGAATCTGAATTTTCATAAATAACTTCTTTATAATTCCCTTTTCATAGTGTGCTGCTACCAAACGAAGAAAAGATTTAAATTTTATGAGGTACAGAACTTTAACTTGGCAGTGCACCTTTAAACACTCAAACACAAACTCACTCTCACATCAGTTCACTGTGATTAGGAATGCCTCATAAACTGCTTCACATGCATCATACAGTAGTACTTTTAGTCAAATATAATATATATATATATATATATATGTGTGTGTATATTATCATTATCTATATATTTGTATTATCTCCTTTCTTTGAAAAAAATGACTACTATGAATTCTGGGCCGTGGGATGAAAAAAAGTGGAGCTTTTCTCTGAGCAGACACCAACCATATCAGGGAATATATTCAAATCTGTTTTTATATATATTAAATATTCATATATTTATATTTTAATCTATATAATTCTTTGAACAAATTTCTGTGTGAGTACTTTTCTGCTTTAAACAAATGACCAACTGCTCCTGTGAACAATTTTTTTCTGCACAACAAATCAGATATAAAAACAGTAAATGTGGCAACTGCATATTATATTGCACCTTTTGTACGACGGATCATTTTCAAGGGGAATAACAAAGTGAGTTTTCAGACCGTAAAACTCTGGTTTCCAAACTGTCATGAACTCACCTTTAGTGAGAGGCCATTTTGGTCATTGACACACCCACTTGAAAAGGAGAGGGGACCCTGAACATGCCAGGTAAACACAACACATTGACCTCTCTTATTATTTCCTAATTTACAGGTGACTTATGTTACACACAAACAAATTCACAGAATCTCCCTATTTTCATCTACGAGCCAAAATAACTCTGGTGTTATAAACAATGATTTGTGGGACTTTTTTTCCATTCGTGTGTTAAACTTTCCTTCGCCCTCCTCATGCTTCTGTTTTTCCAAATATGATCGATTGCATAGAACGACTGGAGATGAGAGGTCGCCTCTTCTGCCCACCATATTTGTTGTGTTTGAGCTTGTGTTTGTCTTGTTTTCTTTTCTTTTCCACATCGGATGATGGTGGTTAAATAACACACACACAGACCCCCACACACATACATACAAACAGTAGGAACAGAACAATATCGAGGTGACTTTGAGGTTTTCTGCGCCGGGTGGCATGCGAAGGTTCCCAGCGAGCGTTCACACAGACAATATACAGCAGAAGTCGGTTGGTTCGTTGGTTTTGCTGAAGGCCTTGCAACGATTGGCCCGGCAGAGAGTACGTTTTTGAGTACTGAACCGCAGATCCCACAATGCACTGCAGGATCGACAGCAGGGAGAACACTGACCTGAGAAGTTTCCATGACAACTGACAGTCTGAGAGAGAGGTTTTCTGGGGTTGGGTTTCAGGTCTGGACGCCACCACGATAGAAAATGAAAAGTTAAAAAAAGGCGAGTGACTTTGTGACACAACCAAGTGTGTTGTTTTTTGGTTCCTCAGTCACATGAGTGCTTACTTTTTTTTCATTTTCTTTTTTTTTTGACACCATTATTGAGTGTGCTTTCCCGTGCGCTGTGCACAATTGACAGACTGAACACACACATGCTGATACACTCTGATGTGCAAGGAGCTTGGTGGGGCTTTTTTTGCAGACTCCTGATAAACGTCCATACTGGGGGTCATATCACGTAAAAACCCAAACCCCCGTCACGTGACGATGTCGAGTCCAGTTCTGCCGGGGTGTGTGACTGGTCTGCTTTTCAGTGCCTCTCTGCTGCCCTGCAGTGCGTTCAGATTAGGCTCCAGAACAAACATCTTATCCAATCCAACTGGCTGATGGACAACATCAGTGTCTCACTGTTGGTTGGAGGAGAAGATGTGGGCGGTTCCAAACTCGTGGGTTATAGACAAGCTCCTGCTCTCTGATGTATTAGTACAGCAGTATTAGTACAATGTTGGCGTACGTGTTGTCATATGCTGAAAGTCAAACTTGAGTGGTACATCTGTGGTGAATTAGACAGACGGAGGCAACACATTTCTGTTCCAGCGACTCTTAAATGACACAAGATTGTGCTCTTCACTTTCCCACCTCTTACTCTATTGCTTTTATAATTATTGATCATAAATAAGAGTCAGGAAATAGACAGGGGGGCTCTATGAAGCAAACAAAACATTATAAAACATAAATAAATCAAAAATAATATCACAAACAACTATCAAAAACAAAGTTCATTTAAAAAGTATAAATTAATCTCACTGTGGTCAGTGTTCCAGCTGACACTACTACATAAAAAATAAATAGTATGATGAAAATATGTGTTTACAGGATGTGATAAAAAAAGACTTAATTCAAAATAAAACTTTAGAAATGATTAAGGCGATATTGGTAACCTGCAACATAAACAACCGGCCGATAAGAAAACTAAATGAGAATGAATAAAGAGAACAAATGTTGACAACACGAGAGATGTCTGAGAGCCACATGTTGTGGAGCAGTTGGAGAAACCCCGTCGCCACAAGCGCTGCAGGTAAATGTGGTTTTAATGGCTTTGTAATGGCTGAAAAACAACCCGACCACGTACGGCTTCACTCCATCAGAATGAAGAAAAAAACAACAACAACAAAACGAAAGGCTCTTCTTTTTCCTGTGGCCATGTTCCCATTGCTTCAGTAATCTCTCCTCGTCGTTATTATTTACGTCGTCTAGCTCGGATTCCTTTCCCCCGTGTCTTTATGGCCTCGGTTAAGTAATGATGAACAGTGTAAGGTCTTAGATATAAAGTTCCATGCATTCCAAATTCCTACATATTTTCTTTTTTTTGTAAATCCACTATACACTTCTTTTTAAAGACATGGCAGGTTGAGGGTTGTTGGGCGGCGTTTACAAAGGAAGAAGAAGAATCAGCATTCAAGAAAACGCAGGGAGGTGAGGAAGAGGGGGGAGCGAAAGGTTTTCACAGTTCCAATCTGGAATGTAAATAGAAACAGAGCGAACTGTGAGAAGAAACGCACGCCGACACGCTCGCTCTCTGTGTCGGCTACATCGTTATCGCTGTCCAATTCATTCAATGTGACATTTCCATTTACTCAGCTTCCTTCTCGAAAGGTGAGGTCTTTAGTACCAGAAAAACCTGCAGGATTTTTTTATTCCATTCCCACACTTTTTATTCTTTGACTTTTTTCTTTGAGATGAGATAGAAAAGAGGAGAGAGGCTTGTTGGTTGCTGTTATTCCTCGTTTGAGCACAGGACTGTGAAACAATGGATCCTAACGTGCCATCGCGCCTGCAAAGCTGCCATTTCCTGTTTGCTGTTAGCAGAAAAAAGCAGCTCTTAAACGGTGGAGTCGTATATTGTAGCAGAATAGGATCGCCCATCTAACTTCCTTCATTGTAACTGCGGAGCTAAATCCATGTAGAAGTAGGTGCTTGGACTCAAGTGGTTCTGCGTGGGTCTCCACTGATGTAAGTACAGATCCCTCTTCTTGTCCGGAGATAGAGCAGCAAAAAGGAAAACCAGCTTCTTTGGATTTTGCTGCCAATGTGTGGCCACTGGTTTCTCTCTTTAAGTAAAAAGGCGCAGATGTGTCCAGCCGCTGCAGGAGGGTTAGAGGGGCTCCGCTGTGGTGTCTTTGGCTGGGGGGGGGGGGCTGCTGGATGACTGAGGGTTGCCCTTCTGAGGATGGACATTGGATCTTGGAATGATCTGCAAAAAGCAAAAAAGGGCAATTAAGTGAAAAATATTTAACAAAAACTAATTTGATATGATCTCTGCATGTTTGTGCTCATTCAACAATAGAAGCCCTGCCTGAAAGGTTTATTCGGTTCATCCTCCACACTGTAAAACATGAAAGCCCGATAACGTAAACACATTTCTTCTCTTCGACACCACTTATCATGACAAGTTTTGGATATTAAACTCAAATGAATAAGTTTTCAAAGGTTAAAATGACAGTTACAGTTATCCATTGTTTTGACAAATTGTGAATTTTGTCAACATTAATTTAACTCATGTCTGTAAGCTCTAAGTTCATCCATCTGTCCTTCTGATAAACAGACACAATCTCACAAGATGAACTCTACCAAAATTCTTGCTGCAGGAAACACTTGTGGTGTCGAATTTAAGGCAATTGGCAATCTTGCATTGTTAGAAAATGTATTGGAAAATATGAATACACTTGAAATGACATTAGTATGATTAGTATTAAAGTAAACTGAACTTGCATGTTTCAATGATGTTTAAGTATATGTTTGTTTGACAAGACTCAATATGAGTTAATCATGTTATTAAGGAAGCTGGTGAACTTTTATTTTACCAACTTTTAAAACTTTAAAATTCTGCAAAGTTTGTAAATCTTTGAATTACAAAACTGAACAAGAAGCCGCTCTGTTTACATGAAGGTGATGGAGTTGTGATGATGTAAAAATAAAGCTGGCCACTAGATGGTGGTTCAGCCCCGGAAATGCACTCCGACAGGCTCCCAGTCCTCCAGATCAACAGATAGAAGTAGCTATATATGCTACAAAGGTGATATAGACCGTCTGGGCATTAGAGACACTGAACCTTTGCTCCTGCCAAAATAATGGAAATATTAGCGAAGAAGAACATTTGTTTTCTTTTTATTTCTCTCTTAAATACACAGGGAGTTATTTCTGCGTTGATCGGTTTTTACTCATTTTATTTGAACCATGGTTCAATTTAAAAAGAGCTACATAACTGAATTGTTCAGTAGAATGTAATAGTTGTATTTACCATCACTGCACAGCATGTACGTGCAGTGAAAGCTTTTTGCTGAACAAAGGACATTGTCAAGAGGACAGTGGACAAAGATCTGTTTTGAAATAATAGACCTTCATCATTTGTCTGTGTTTGGAAACTCCACATCATGCTGGTCGCCATGATCCATGTAGCACGTCTCTGTGCGTCAGCATCTGGTCAATGTATTTCATTTATTCATGACAGGAAAATTCTGCCCTCAGATCTTCCTACGTCTCAGTGCAAAGAATAATCCTGACGGTGGAAGCAGACGTCACAATGAAAAAAGCTTTTTCTAAGGAGAAAACTGAAAATCCTGTGGCAGAGATTCACAAAATGGATCCTAAAATGAATCATACTCAGGCCAAATGTTTGTTCTTATAAGGTGGTTTGGTTCACATGGTTTTTTTACAGTTCCAGCACGAGCCAGCTGGAAGCAGGAGAATGAGGCCGTAGATATTCCTGACCACTGTCAGCTGACACAGCACCTGTCAGCATAATGGCATGTTAAATAACACAGGGACAAAGTCTCTGCTATGACCTGCCGCCTCACATTTGCTTCACAGCTCCGAGGCGGAGGCGGACATGTAGCGTTCAATCTTCTTGCATGAGTCAACAACGATTGACTGTACTTCTGCAACCTGTACGACCTCTTTTCATTGATATGTTGGGTCACTCACCTCCTCCCTGCTTCAGGCTAACAGGGCAGATAGACTGGATGTAGAGTGTCTATATAGACTCTGCAGTAACACCCAGCGGCATTCATAGTGTCCAGTGACTCTACAATGTTTTTTAACAATTTACATTTATATTATAATATTCTGTCATTAAAATGCAAGCAAATACAAGCATAGAAATAATAAAAACCCTTTTTGTGCCTAGAGGATCTGTATAGGCAATAAATAATCATACAAGAAAAAAATATTGACCATAGACATGCTGTTTATTCAGCTTTGGACTAATAAGATATCAGACTTTTGAAGCTTTGGTCTATAATCATTGTGGTATTAGTTTGAATTCTAGGTTTTCTTCAATATGTACAGCACCAGTCAAAAGTTTGGACACACCCTCTCATTCAATGGTTTTTCTTTATTATTCTTTTTGTCTACATTGCAGATTAATATTGAAGACATCAAAACTATAAAGGAACACATATGGAATAATGTGGTAAACCACCTTTTGCTTTGATAACAGCTTTGCACACTCTTGGCATCAATCAGCTTCATGAGTCACCTGGAATGGTTTTCAGTTAACAGGTGGGCCTTGTCAAGAGTTCATTTGTGGAATTTCTAGCCTTCTTGATGTTTGAGACCCTCAGTTGTGTTGTGCAGAGGCAGGTGCACAGTTCTACACTGTGAATAGGCCTGTTTGACTACAGTTCTAATCCATATTATGGCTAGAACCACTCAAATATGTAAAGAGAAACGACAGTCCATCATTACTTTAAGACAAATTTCAAGAACTTTGAATGTATCCTCAAGTGCAGTCCATCAAAAACCATCAAACGCTATGATGAAACTGGCTCTCATGAGGACCGCCCCAGGACAGGAAGACCACGAGTTACCTCTGCTGCCGAGGATAAGTTCATTACATCTTTCCACCCGCCATGTCTTTGTAAGACGCAGAAAAGGTGAGCGGATGATCTCTGTGTATGGTTCCCACCTTGAAGCATGGAGGGGGAGGTGTGATGGTGTGGGGGTGCTTTGCTAGTGACACTGATTTATTCAAATTTCAAGGCATACTTAACCAGCATGCACTCCTGTTTCCTGATAGACAGTAACATGTTTGCCCAATGGAGACATGCATCTACTTTTCTGGTTTTCTTTTCTCGCTGCACCTGACCCACATTAGCTGCTTTGAATATACTTAATATTTACAGTAAATGCGTCACGCAGCAGCAAACGTTTGTTTTAGTGAACACACACACACACACGCAAGGATGTATGGAAATAAACATATTTAGACAAGAAACAGATCGATAGGCGAAGGAGAGTGTGGGAAAAACACATTATCATAAAACTTTATGTGTGGGGTTGTTACTCTGGGTTTAGATGAGGCCCTGCATGTGTTTCCTGTTTTAATGCAGTGTGGGGAACAGTTTGTGTGAAGGCCCTCTCCTGTGTTAACATGCAAAGAATTGATGTTAAAGAATGTGACTTCTCAGCAAACAGCCCAGAGCTCAGCCCCATTCACCACCTTTGGGCTGAGCTGGCAGGCTGACTGTGAGCGATAATCCCGCGTCCAGCCCCTAACGTAGATGTTGGTGCCAGGTCATTGACTGTCCAAACAAATATCTGGTTCGAGATTAAACACTGGCTCCTAAGCGGCCCTCGAACTGCCTTGGTGGAATGAAATGTTCGACCATCACTAATGGGGTGTGCACACAATTTGTTTGTCCACATGGTGTACAAACCGCCTCTGAAAGGACGACAGAGTTGAGACTGCAAGAGATTTGTAGTAGGTAGTGCTAAAGCAGGACTGGAAGAGACAGAACAAAACAGGGGTTGTTACAGTTACAGCTGGAAAAAAACAAAAACAAGACATGCAGAGAGAGCAAGTGAATGAGAAAGCGAGATGCTTGACAGGGAGGAGTGTGAGGGGAGACAGCAGGAAAGTGAGAAAGCGAGAGCGAAAGAAGAAGAGAAAAAAACCAGAGATGTTTGACAGCAGGACCAGAGTGTGGGAGAAGAGAGAGAACCTCTCTGCAGCAGTCACATGAGGCAGTTAGTCAGCGCATGGCTGCACACAAACACACACTGTTCACACTCAGCATGTTGTCTCTTATGGCACACATGAAACACCATGCACACTCTGAACTGCAGCATTAGAGCCTGTTCATCCCCCCCATAGTGCATTAAAGGAGCAATGCCCACGGCACAGCGGCAAAGAGATTTTGTCAAATGCGAATAGAAGAAGCATGTGAGAGAATTTCCTTGTGTCATTGCCCCGGCTCACACATCTGCACCCTATTCAGAGCCACATGCCATGAAATGAGTCGACGTCACTGTTCAATTCTGTCTCTTCAGAATTACAGAATTATCAACTAATTTGAATTGGCAAAAACGTTTTTTTCTGCTGATTTGATTCTGGCCGAGCTAATGCTGCCTTTTAAACTCACACAACCCAGATGCCGGGGATTTTCAAGAGCAGGCCACAAATACAACAGCTGCAAAAAACACAGAGGCAGAAAGAGAACCGGCTCTGGACAGCACCGCAGAAACACACCACACAGGCAACCTGACTCCACATTAAAAAACCAGAGATACCGAGATGGAGCATTACAGATGTCAAAATGTCCTGAGGTGATGAGTAAAGTAAAATAGTTTTTCCCCTGAAGATAAGATTAGTCTTCTGATTCTCTACTTTCATATAAAATATTAGATAACGTCAGCAGTAGTCATTATTGTGGGTCTAAATTTTCAACCATAAAATACTGAATAAATAAATGATAATAAATAAAAATACATCTAAAGAAATAGAAAGTTAAAAGTTATTTCTTTAACTTTCTATATCTGCTTCACTTAGCATCACAAACTTTACCGAAGTTGAATTCTTCTAACTTTTACTTGTGATGAATCAAAGCATGAAATCATAACTATCAGGTGAACCATAGATCGTATTTAGAGATGGACTCAAAACTCAGTGAAACTCAGTGAAGACAACAAACAACAAACAAACAAAGAGTCTGGAAGGCCTCCTGGTGCAGTATAGGTCATAACCCAGCCTCCTCCCTATATTAGCAGATGAAGCATGGACCAAACTAAGTCAAAGTGCATGTTTAAAACATTTTCTGACAGGTGGTTTTTGTTTGTTCGTGTTAATCTTTACATAGTAACTTTGGTTTTATTTCGTTTTTTTATGTTGTAAAAACATCATGATTGACAGTTGAGACTAACTGTTGGTCACGTGCGTGTATCAACCTCAATATTGCAGCTTCACCATGGTGACTGAATGACATCACCAGCTTAAGATGACAGCACCTGCATCAGAAAATGTTCTCTTTAAGTCTGTACAGTGGGAGGAAATGATGCTTCATCCATCTTTATTTACAGTCTATGAGATAAACACAATCCACAAACCAGATTCTTAAAAATGTGCATGGGGAAGTTAGACAGCATGATTTTTAACGGGTAAAGAGATGTGGATGAGTGAGGCAGATTTAAAAGTAACTTACTGTCTGGCCCGTCAGAGAGAGCAGCGGATTCTCTCTGTCAGCCTCTGCTCAGGCCTGAGACATGAAGTATCTGGAGGATCCCAGTCCGTGTTGGCTGAAAAAGGAAGCAGCAGCATCTCAGACAACATGTTTTTCTTAATGGAGACATCCATCCTCGGCTAGTCTGACATTATTGGAGTAGACATAGACTCCACTGTGTCCCGATGGGGCAGCTGGATATGGTGCGTAATCACAGAGCACTGCATGAATTAATATGGATATCTTTACCATTATTTTAATGAGCTATTTAAAAAAACGCTTTCCTCAATGAGTTGAGGGTCACTACTACTCACCATTAATCTGTTCTCTGTGGTCATATCACATTAGAAATGGATGATATAAATGGAATTTAAAGTATACTGGTATGACTTAGCCTCATACCGTGATACATACCAATACTTCAAATTATACTATAATATATTGGTCAAATAGATTTCTGATACGATAACCATAAGTAATGATACAATAATGTCTGAGAGCTAAACAAACATGGTGGCCTCATGTCAACTTCTGTCTGATATCACAGTGGGTGAAAGTTTCTGTTGCAAGTTAAGTTCAGTGATCTGACCTACAGGCAGTGGACCATCCACATAAACCTGGACCCACTGAGACTGATGGTTTGTAGGTTTATAGGTTAAAATCGTAAACTCACCAGTTTTCTCAGCTCTCCTCTCTGTTCCCCCAACACCCCTCTCTCCTCCATGTCTCTCTCTATCTCTCTTTTAGTAAAACAAAAGCAGGGGGAACGTCACAGGTTTTTCTGGTACGAGGCCTCATGACTTCATCAGTTGACATTTACATAGTCCTGAGAATAAATGAGAGAATTCAGTCAGTTCGTTTTCTGCAACAACACTACAAAGTGTTGTCACTTTTATTCACAGTAACACTCCAGGATGTAATAAGTACAGTATTGTCCTGAGTCAATTGAACATCCAGCCCTGTCACTCTCTTTATGTATTTTTAGACACGTTACCTGCCGGGCTCTAGAGGTGGTACCTGAAGTATCTCAACAACCTTCAGATGGGTTTCCATGGACCTTTGTGGAAACATCCTGACAACTAACAACTGTGGTAAACCTTTTACTTCTCTTTTAGTGCCACCAGCAGGTCAACATAACTTCACAAAATAACTATTCGATGCACTGACTTGAAATCTATTCCACACATTCATCGTGCCCACAGAATGAATCCTCATCGGTGATTCCCTGATTTTCTCTCATGGTCGGATTAAATAGCAGTTGAGTGGTTTTGGATGGTTTGCTACAAAACATTTGGCATCATTCCATTCAGGATGAACTGTGATCCCCCTGGTGATCATCCTTTCATTTCCTTTTCATTATAATTTCTCAAAACTTGTAATTATGACTAATGGCATATTCCATACCTCAGAGCTTGGCCCTCGGAATGACTTCCCACCTGAATAACCTGAGTTTATAGCATTCCAGTTGCACAGGAACAATGTTTATGTATCCCAGCTAGTTATTGTTAGCAAAACCAGTTCACAATAACGCATTATGCTGCATTTCACGCAAACTAAAACAATAGTATAACATCCACAGGCAGTAATTGGACTGTGTGTATGACACATTTAATGACAGAAGTGCTGATAAAATGTACTAACAACAACTTTTAATACAGTTGATACACAGAGTGGCCATCTTGGATTTCGAAATAGAGGGTGGTGAGGTTTACTCTGACCTTCTCAGTTGAAATTCCCAGTTGAGGGGGCGTTTCAGTGCCGACTTTCTTTTTGGGGGTCGGTAACTCTGAGCTCCGAGGTTTAATGGAACGCAGCATTATTACCTCCATAACTAATGATACCCCCATTAGGAGCTGCAGTTTGTTCATTTGCTTGCTTACACACTAAATGCTTAGTAGTATTTCAGTCAAGCCCTGACTCTGTGTCACTGTACAGACAAACAGAGCTGACAACATTACATTACATTTCATTTAAGTGACACTTTTATCCAAAGCGACTTACAATAAGTGCATCTACCATGAGGGGAACAAACCCAGAACAACAAGAATCAATCAAACATGAATGAAGACTTGTTTTGCACATTGTTTTTAGAGACTTTCATGATTTTATATTTGAGTAATTCAGTCTCAAGCAAATCACATCAAAATGCAATCAACAATGTCAAGTCCGCAGCTCTGGCAGCATGAACATCTTACTTTATTTACCCTCAACTTGACATCATTGCAGTGTGTGTTCAGCAGTGAGAATGTGCCATGTGAACACACATCTTATTCCATTGTGTATCATAGTAGGAATATGTTGTAATTGCTGTTAAATTCTTCTCATGCACATGAAACAAAGAGAAGAAAACACACAGACACACAGACACACTGCTTTCTGAACACTGCCTGTTCTGTGTTTTACCACTTTGAGCTTCCCACACACTGCTGCCGACAACACGCTACAGCTATCTGCCAATCTATCTGTGTCCTGGTATACTTTGAACCAGCAGCATCTCAGATTTATTGTTATACCTTAGGTTTGAGATGCACTTGTTCTCTGAAGTGAAGGCAACATGTTTCCAGATTCTCTCTGTACAAGAAACACAGACCAAAATACTCCTGCTGTGATGCTGATGGCTGCCTCTATAGGTGGTCTTTGCCTTTGTGTCTTTTCAGACGTACAGTCATGCTGCGAGTACATCTCTTTAACTCTATTAGGACTTTTATTCAAGAGATCAATGCAATCACTCTACATTAAGTTTAAGAATAATGAGCACACATCACACACAAAGAGAATAGGTTACATACCTTAATGTTGGCACCTCAGAAGAGAGAGGTGAACTTCTTGCCAAAACCGGAGATAGCTGGAGGAAAGGGGACAAGAAAAGGTGATCAGATGGAAGAGGAGTGTAGAAAAACTCTGTGTTTTCATGTTGAGTTGAATTTATACTGCTTAAATTAAATTGTAGGATGTGTCATGTTTGCAGGCTGATAGTCACATAAGAGGCACTATTAATACATTTGGTTTCATAACTATCACATGTGCACGGAAATCATTTTTAAATTCTTTGTAGTTGTGCATCTCCATTTGCATCTCTTTGTAGCTGCTTTGTGTCTCTGTGTAGCATCACTCTCCTCTCTCAGTTAGTTGGTTTGCATCTTACAGTAGTCATTTGAGTCCCTTTGTAGTTTCTCATTCATTCCTTCAAACCTTTAATTAAACTCAAGAAGTTTGTTGAGGTTTTATCATCTACAAAGATGTCAAGTGAGTAAACTTCTCAACAATAACAATCAATATAAGCTGTTGCATAGATGAGTGGAGTGGTATGTTAGTACTATATTTTAATGAGTTGTACTCTATGATGCAAAACATAACGTTACAGGATCTTTAGAGAACAGAAGCTCAAATTCAGTTATTACAGTAGCTCTGAGGACTTGAAGTGTGAGACTGACAGCGTCCAGACAAGTAATTGTGTTTGTTTTTAGCATTTCAAGCCTTTATATCGACAGTATTGTGAATGAGAGACTGGACATCGGTTGAGAGAGAGTAGGGGAATGATTCAGCTGGTAGTTGAACTGGGAATCTGGGACTCGAGTCATTGGCCCAGATTGTGTGTCTATGTGGTCATTTTTCATCTCTTTCTGGTCATTTGATTAAGTTTCCTACACAAAATACTATAAACAAAGGTCCAGGGGGCCCCATGAGCTGTGTGGCTCCTAGATCTGTGCCTTGTAAGCTAATTCAATTGTCCATCAATGGGTTATTATTAAGTACTGACATAAGGTAAATATATAGTTAGAGATGTACAATTAACAACTAATATTATACGAATAACATGATGATGGTTTAATACAATAGTTGCTGCCTGTTCAACAACACTGAGCTCTTTAATTCTATCAAGACCAAACCAGCTGTTTAGAGTATTTTGAGAGTATTTAGAGTTTGTTGTACCGTCTCCCAGTTTGCCAGCCTGCTCAGCGGCTCCTCCTGGCAGGATCTTGGACAACATGCTGTCTCCCTCCATGCCAGGCTGACCTGCTGCTGCACTGCCAATACCTCCTGGTCTAGGAGCTGCCTTGGAGCCTAGACAGAGACATAGAGAAGGGAAGAGGGGGGGGGTCAGTATCTATGATGGTGTCACTAACTGGCATAGAGTTTCTATGAAGACATCTGTCGTATCAAGTGCTCATGTATCCTTTCCAAAAACTGCTTGTAAATAAAACAATGTGGGAAGTAGTAACAAGGTCTTGTCAGTTGCGTCTGCCTGTTCCAGTATTTAGGTATTTACTCACAAGGGCCCCTCCTCTTAGATCTTCCTGAGGTTCCTTTGCTTAGTTGCCACATTGTGTGCACAGATGTTCTGTTGTAACCTTCTGACATAAGACTCATATGGGCTCCTGCTCTTTTGCTGTACAAGTAAAAAACATACTAACTTTAAGTCCTTAGTGGCAGATGGACTACTTACAACCAATGAGCCTGACCTTAACAACTGACTAAGGGATTTCACTGCAGGACTGAGCACCTTGTGATGTTTCTCACTGTGCTACCCACTCGCCAAAATAAACTGATATATGATCAATTCTGCAAAACCTCAGATTATATTCATAAAATCCTAAAATTCAGCACACTGTCCCTGCATATTAATGCTATTAATATTTCATTTAGCTCGATACAGTTTATGTGCCCCTCCAGCTCAACCTCAAATAACCCACCCCATAATCACCAACTACAAAGTAGCTAAGCTAATAAAAACACTTCAATTCGTGGAAAGATCTAGGGCTGGAATCAATTATCTTCATTATCAAATAATCTCAAAAGTACTTGAAATGAAATAGAAATGTCATTGAAATGTCAGAAAAGAAGGAAAAACACCAAACACAATTTCTTCAACTGCTTATTTTGTCTAAAGGCTCCAAAACTATAGATATCCAGTTAATAAGGAAAGAATCCAGCAAATATTAACCACATATATTATATTACATGTGACCAGTTGAAATTAATAAGTGTCTTTGTGCTTCTCCACCTATCTAAATACTAGCTGACTTCTTGCCGACTCAATAAATGAATTAAATCACTAGATACTAATTTAACTAACTGACCAAGTGACATTCAGGCTGAGTGGGTGCCATGAAGTGAAACCCTTCCTGTGTGTTTTCCACTGTGGGATAATCTGCAGATTAATCTCAGATTAGATGAGACAGCACACACTGGTTACATAATACAGACTGGGCTGCAGCTGGCAAGACGTGGGAATGGTGTGTGTGTGTGTGTGTGTGTGTGTGTGTGTGTGTGTGTGCGTGTGCGTGTGTGTGTGTGTGTGTGTAATGAATGTACTGTACCTATGCCTGTGAGTGGGGGCTGGGCTGCTTTTGAAGCCATGACGGGCGCTGCCTTTGCTCCAATAGCTGTTGCCGGAGGCGTGTCGATCTTTGCCTGCAGAGAGAGGGAGAGCGAGAGAGATACAGAGAAAGTATTGAATGAAACAGCAGGAACATAAAAAGTTGTACATGTGTTTGTGTGCTCAGCATTTACACAAACATCATACTGTTTACCCTGTTTTTACAGTAATTAAAGAAATTAAAGAGATTAAAGAGACACATCCTTACAGCTGCTGAAGCAGGGGTGGATCCAGGGACAAGGCCAGGGGGCACTTGCCCCAGCTGAACCCAGATTGACCACTGAAGTGCCCCTGTAGTGTAACATTTTCTTGAAGTTGGTCGTATCATCTCTGAGGTTGTGTGAATTAAGAATTAATCAGATTCTCTCTCTGTTGCCTTAAAGTTGTTAAAAATATATATATCATATGAAATCAAGAAATGTTCTGGTGCATATACAGTATGTATATACATTTTTTAGTTTTGTTTTTGATGCTGCTACTCTGGTCTCTTTCTTTCTTTCTTTCTTTCTTTCATCACTACTGTTATATTGTCCCAAAAACTGTCAGCCAGTTAGTTCATCAAATGGTCCATTAAACAAGTGCAGCACACACTTAATATGAGATCTATAAACATTTGAGACTAAACTACAGTGGCTGCGGCACTAACAGAGAAAAGCTTTAGAAAAGAAACCAGACCTTTTCTGATACCCATCAGTACAACAGTTATTTCCACCGACACAGGAAATATGGCCCATTTCGCTCAGTTCTATGTTTTTACTTGTCTTCTGTTTTCTGTAAAGCTCTGTGCGTCACTACTGTCCTAAAAAGAAGCCTTACTTGACAGACGATGGACTGCTGCCAATTAATCACATACAGTATAATTCTTTATTTGTTTCCTACTGACTGTAGTTTAGCTGCAGGAAAACAGCAGTGATGCATTATGATGCACAGTACAGCATATGCAGCATTTCATTATTTACAGCCACTTAATCAATGCTTTTAATTTCACAATGGACCCAACACAAGGGTGTAAGTGAATGAGTTTGCAGACTGAATGATAATCATGTGATAAATTGCATTTAGTGTTTATGGCTTCCCGTCTGGGCCGCTCCACAGCCGAGCTTTCAGCATAATTTCAAGTTTCTCCATAAATTGATATCAGACCATAATAATTATTTCAATTTGCTTTCCCACTGATAGAGCAACAATGCAGCTATATGGAAATCACTGATGCCTTTCAGCAGTGGAAGCATATTATGAATAATTTTTGGGATATTCATAATTGACATGGTGACAGCGGCTTTGTGTGAACTTCATTGGCAAAGCAGTCATGTTTTCTGGAGCCAGAATGAATTCAGCAAGAGAATCATTGAAACTGCATGAATGTTTAGATTGAAATAGCAAAAAATATTTCCATGGATTAATGATTATGGAGTAAATGCAGGATGGAATAGATTTTTGCAGGGAGAAATTTTGGGAGCCAGTTTCTTGAGTTGTCAAGCAGACGGTGAATAAGATACATTGAGTTATCAGCTGCCTCTGTGTTAATCACTGTGTTAGATAAGAGCTGCAGAGCCGACAGTGGCAGAGCAGAATTCAAATCAACCAACTGAACTGGGAGGAGATGGACCGGCTCCTATATATTTAGGATCATTGAAGGAGTGCTGAGGGTAAAGATGGCTGAAACCTTGGTTTTCTAAGACAAGATGATTGATGATTGATATTTTTACATCAAGATAACAAAATATTATAATTTGACTATCATGACATACTTATTTTGTTATCTCAAGATTAGAAAGCAAGGTTTTATAAACAAAAAATAAATAAACCAAACATAAAAAGCCTTCTCTTAGCCTCCATAGAGATGAATAGGTGTGTGTGAGAGTACTGTAACTGTCATATGTGGCACATAAGATCTTCAGGATAACACTTTACTAATTGCAGCTCAATATTTGCAGATATGCTAGTAAACTGCATTAAGCTATGCCAATAGTTATATTTTATAAAAAACAACTTCATCACTTGCATGATTATCATACATCTTCTTCACTTCTTTTTATACATCTTTTTATTACATCAAACAGGAGAAACTGCTGAAAAGACTTCCCTCTATATACTCACCATGGTAACTGGCGTGGTTCCTGCTGGACCCGTCTGCCTGGCCTGCCCCATGGGTCCACCTGCTGGACCCATCTGCCCTGGCTTGACCTGGCCCTGCCCCATGCCCATGCCTTGACCCTGTGTTGGGGTCTGTTGCAGAGGGCCGGTGGTTGCTGCGGAACCGGGCTGCCCTGGCCTGGCCGCTGATGTCTGGGCTTGTTGTTGGAGCTGGGCCCTCTGTCCTGGTCCCCCATCTGTCTGGGAGCCAGGACCGCCCTGTCGCCCTGATCCCGAAGGTCCGCCTGCAGGGCCCTGAGCCCGGGCAGAGCTGCTGCCAGACCTGGAGGAGCCTGAGTGGAGGAGGGGAAAATAGAATGTTTTACACTTAATGAAAACATTTCCACTCATTGTACTAGAGTGTATTATTACAAAAAGTAGATGATGCACACAACTAGTTTCTTGTAATTTTGACGACATTTCCATTTTGTTAGATTATGTACAATAGCATTGATAGGAGAAGTAAGACTGAAAAACAGAATGACATGCAACAAATGTCACAGGCAAAGATCAAACCAGCGATTTAATGAGCTCAATCCCAAAAACACAGCCACAGTGTTGCCCCGGGAGAAAACATTTCCTTTGAAAAGTTACGCTTGGTATAGTTAATTAAAAACTGTTGATCCCTGAGGGGACAACTGATTGTAAAAGAGCGTCAAACTCGGTCTGAACAGAAAGCGATATTAAGTATTTCTGCCTCAGACCTAAATAAGGAATTAACAGGGATCTTATTCAAGGATCACAACTTATTATCGCTGCAGTTAAATTTGAGACCTTACCATGAGAAAACACAGTGTAAGTCTGTGGGATAAATTTTTAGAATTGTCGTTTCATAACTAACAAACGGTTTATTAGAAGAGAAATGTAAATTAGAAATATGTCTGTTATATGCCAGGTCACAGATGTAATTTGTTTTAAATGAACACAGTTTGGCCCCAATCCTCATTCTGGACCGATGCCAGACCACCTACTCTTGGAAGAATTTGAATGAGATCCAATACTGTTCATAAAACTGAGTGAGCAAATGATTTCGAGGGGAATTAATCTTTTACTTCTT